AATTTATATGTGATTTCAAAATACTTGTTTGTAATTGTTTGGATTTATTTATAAAAATGTGAAGTTGTAAGTTGTTTGTGAAAATTTGATGTTAGTAAATTACTTTATTATGAAAATTAAAAAGATTTTAAACTAATTAGAAGATGTAGTGCTTTGGTGTACAATGTTTTTCACAAAAAAAAATTGAAAAATTAAATTTTGAGCGTTGGCACCTAGGCGCCATATTGGTTGGATCATTAAAATCACGAAAATGAACAGTGCCAGCCATTTTTTGACTTGGGGTCAGCTTCAACCTTACGAATATGGGCAAATGACAAACTAGGGCTTTCTAATACTCGGATTTGAAGCTATTTTGGGGATAGAAATACTTAGACCTAGGCGCCATATTGGTTGGATCATTAAAATCACAAAAATGAACAGTGCCAGCCATTTTTCGACTTGGGGTCAGCTTCAACCTTACGAAAATGGGCAAATGGCAAACTAGGGCTTTCTAATACTCGAATTTGAAGCTATTTTGGGGATAGAAATACTTAGATTTCATCTTCTATTGATAAGAGCTTCACTTTAACTTATAAATTATTGATTTTCACCGAGGGTTTCTCCTACATTATCGGAAAACCAAAAATTAGAGGTTTTGGAGAAATTTAGCGAAGAATCCATGGTGTGAAGTTTCTTAGCCATGATTTTGATTTTAGGAATTTACTTTATCTTTATAGCAAATTTATGTAGAATTATTTTGAATTTTTAGAACTTTATGGCTCCTAAAATGGGGAAGATGAAGGGAAAGGAGGCTTGTGACATGAAGAAATTTGTAAACATTAAGGCCCAACATCATTATAATACTCAACTCATGACAAGAAAGCTTATTCAAGAATGAGCATTTTACAATCCCGATGCTCCTATCAAGGGATTGATTGTTGTGGAAAATTGGGAAACATTCTGCTATTTCACTGTTGTAGCAATTATTTTGATCTTTCGGGAGTTCTATGCAAACCTATTGCAAGCTATAGATGATCAAGCTTTTGTTCGAGGTAAGAATGTTGAATTTAACCCGGAAAGGATAAATGCATTATATGGGTTGAGAGACAAGCTTCATTGCAAGTACACTACTTTTGATACATTAGATTCTGCTTTGGAAAAAGTTATAGCTTATTTGACTGATGGAAGAGGAGTTTGGAAGATGAAAAATGATCACAAAGTAAACTTCTCTACTTCTATGCTTAATGCTCAATCTAAAGCCTGACATTGTTTTATTTCTACTCATCTCCTTCCAACAATCCATCTAAGCGAAGTTACTAAGAAGAGAGCTACTTTAAATTTCTGCATTCAAGAAATGAAGAAAATAAACATTGGTGTATTTATCTATCGGAATGCCCATACTTCTTCTAGAGGTGGCACTACTGGAGGTTTAGGATACCCAACTTTGATTCTTACTCTATGTGATCAATTAGGAGTGGGGTATGATAGATCTAAGGAATTGATACAAACACTTAAACCTATCAGTAAACCTAGTGTTCATACATATGAGTTGCATGCTGAATAGAAAGCTAGAGATAAAAGTAGTGATATACCTTCTACTTCTACTATGGACCTTCTAAATCTAGAGATAAAAGTAGTGATATACCTTCTACTTCTACTTTGGACCTTCTAAATCCTGCACTACTTCTTTAGAGAAAGTTATGGAGCAGTTACATATTCAGCAGGGCGATATCTTGACACTTAGGAATCATATGAAAACCATGGAGGCAAGAAATTGTCATACATGCAAAGGAAGGTAGATTATGAGATTGCTTATAGTGAGGCCATGACAAAGTATTTGAGGGGCGATCATAATGTAGAATTCCTTACTTGCCCCCGATTTACACCCTATGAGCTTGAGGTAGAATTTGAAGAAGAAGAAGAAGATCATGAGGAGTAGTTTACGTTCATGCTCATTTTATGTAGTTTAATTTTATTTTTCATGTGGTTGTTCGTAGTGAACTTTATTTTTGAATGACATGTATTGTAAACAGGTATTGAAATTCTTATGTGTAGATGTAGATTGTTTGTTTTTCTTTCAGCGTTGTTTATTGTTGCAGTTTGTTGCTTATGTTTAAAACTCCTCTACTTGACAAATCTTTTTGATATATCATGTTTTACATAATATTTTATGCCATGTTTTTTTTTAAATTGGTACCTGCAATGTTTCAAATTCAAAGCCCTCTACACCCTCTACATGTTAGTTTTATTTAAATGCATTTAATGTTTTCTTTCTACCTTTGTTTTTGTATCAAATGCTTTACCTTTTAAAGATTTAAGTTTGGGGGGAAAGAAAATTTTTTTTAAAAGAAATTAAACTTTACTTTTCTTAAATAAACTATATTATTAAAATTCTTTTGAACATGAATTTTGGTATCAGAGGTCAACTTAAAGATAATTATATTTTTTTATGATTGTAAACTTAAGTAAAAATATTTAATAATGAAGGTTAGTTGTATAAGTTAAGATATTTAGCATAAGAGTATAATGTTATGTGTGTACTATTTAAAGTAAAGAAAATTATATTTTTGAAATATTAAGAGAGTCTTAGAGTTATATTAAAAGAAAGGATTGAGACTTTATGAAAAACTCTTTTCCAAAGCTAATATGCATTTATAAGTAAATTATGTATGAGGCTTTTATATTTAAAAAGAGGATAGTGAAATTTAAAATCATTAAAGGCTATCCAAATATAGTAATCCTCACCTGAATAAGAAAATAAAAAAAATAGAAGGGGGATTGAAAATGATCCTAAAAGAAAAAAAGATAAGAAAAAGAAATAACAAAAAAGAGAAAAAGAAAAGCAAAAAGAAAAATATATGTGAGGAGAAGCTTGAGGAGATGCCTAATAAAAAATTAGCTTCACTTTTAAAGCCTTTTATGCATAAATAGAACTCCAAACTTTCTAGACCTCAACCAAAAGTGAGGTCAACAGCATAAATAGAACTCCAAATCGATTCTAAAATTGGCAAGCTTATGGTCAAACTTAGTGTCTCATCTAGATGAATCTAACAAGCCCAATGTCTCTCAATTCCAACATCATTAATACGCTCAAATGTCAATTAAATTGTCATCCTATTAAGGGGATCTCTCTGGGTCGTTTGATCAAGAGTGGTTTGAATTTTTTCCTTATTTGCAACCTAGAATCTATAAATAGAGCTCTGACCTCCTTATGAAAAGGGGAGCTAGACATTAGGAAAGAGGAAGACCAGAGCCTGCATAATAGGGAAATGCTGCCCAGCATCCTGCACCGCAAATCCGACCAACTCTAACCACCGCCACCTCTATACTTCGTCTCCTCCGGCCGCTGCCACCGCTTTCAGGTGTTGTTGCCCACCATTGCCCTCATGCATATGTAGTCGCCAAACATCATGGACCTCTCGCTTCTATACATATTAGCCAATGCTGCCCATAAACTCTAGCCATCGGAGACCAACTCTGGTTAACGTCGCCTCTGACAACTACCTTTTTTGCCTATGACCAACTCTGGTGGCCGCCGCCTCTGACCCACTCTAGTCGGCGCCCCCTTCGGCGAACTTCCACCCGTTGCCCTTTGGCCCACTCGGGTTATCGTCGCCTCCGGCCAACTAGGGTCGTCGTTCCCTCTAGCCAATTCTGGCCACCGTCACCTCTGACACCTTCGGCTGCCATCGCCTCTTGTAACAGCCACTGCCGGACACCTCCACAAATAGGCCCTCTCTAAAAACATTAAGCATATACAAATTTGGATCCTTTAACTGACACGATCAAATAATGGTTGATTATTCTACCCATTGGTCCTTCAATCTATCACATTCATTTTAATCTTATATTAGTATAAATGTCAAGCCATTTAGGCGAGAATCATCTGTTGGGGCATGCATGCATATTTATAAAAGTGGATATCATACTATGGTAAATGAGACAAATGACTCAAGTGGATTAGAAGCTGGTAAAGGTCATGGTGTACTAGAATTTGAAATAAAGGCAGTGTAGGCAAAGAATCAAATATTAAATCGACAATCAATATTGAATGCAAATATTCTTGACTCGATGAGAGAGAATAATGAATACGTAAATCAAATTCGTGCAACTGCGGAGTGGGACACAGTTGATAAATGTGATGCTCTTGTGTCTATCCACTAATGAATACGTGAAGAACATATAATTCCATAAGAGCTTGAAGATGGAATGCTATTTTGTAGTAAAGGTGAGCTTCAATATGCATTAAACGATTGGTTTATTGTTAGAAATGTTCCTCATCAAATAAAAAAAATATTAACTGTATAATACGTGTAATGCGAAAATTCAACATGTCATGTCATTAGTAGTTACATGCTTCAAAAAGGTAGTAACATGGGGGGTGCGGGATAGATCTCTTTATTTGGACCACCACATATGTGTATCGTCTAGTTATGCTGAGTGCACATAAAAGTTGCACATTAAGATTTGTTTGTGATTATATAGGTGTCATTTTATGATAACAACTTGATTTGAAGATAAAATAAATTATTACATGAATGGAGTCAAAATTTAATGTTCGTATTACATATATATTAAAGCTTGAGATGCAAGAAAAATGTCAATAAAGTTAATTACGATAAGGTTTAAAAATTTTAATTTTAAATTAAAAAAATATAATTAATTTTATTAAATAAATCATGTAGTTTAAATTATATATATAGAGAGAGAGATGCGGACTACAAAAATATTTTATCTTAATTGTATAATCTTAACTATTATATATTTTTTTACTAAATATTTAATTCTAAAAAAAATTCGTGCATTTTATTCTTTTATTTTTTAAAATTCTTTTGATGAGAGATAGACGCTGACTACAAAAATATTTTATCTTACTTATATAATCTTAACTATTATATATATATATTTACTAAATATTTAATTCTAAAAAAAATTCGTCCATTTTATTCTAATATTTTTTAAAATTCTTTTGGTGAAATTTTAATACGCCCTGTCTAAGTCAATGCTGGCCGGCTGCGTCCAATTCTTCCGTATGCCGACCTTTTCAAAATTTCGTATGCTAAAAACTCTGATCTCTCCGTGTCTTTTTTTCCTTTCGATAAATCATGGCCTAGAGGTTTCACTATCCCTCCATGGATGACCACTTTAGCCGTGTTTCCCAATGAAGCCTGCTTCCACCAGCGTCACTATCGACTCTGCGGACGTAAGCCAGGGGGCTGCGTCGGTGTGGCCGGAATCCACCATCCTCCGGCGTCTTCCTGTTCCACTGATCTTTTTGATAGTGGTTGGCCTCTCGGTTACCTTTATCTACCATGCAGCTGGTCCGATGCCGCTGTTAAAGCAGTGGAATCGGATCTCTCCTTTCGCCAACCTCTCCGGTGGTGACATCGATATTGTGAGTTTATTCTAATCATCTCATGAGGCTCAGGCGAGCCAGGTGTTTTTTGTTCTTCCACACGCCAAAAAAAAAAAAAAAAAAAAAAAAAAAAAGCTTTGTTGAGAAGAAACTTTGGGATTGATTTTTTGAGTTCTACCGTTCTTTTGGATTCAGTTTCCTTGTTCTAATATTTCCTTGTTCTGTTCAATCAAAATGAACAGAGATTTTGTTTGTCCTTGATTGCTTAGTGATTTTTGTTACCTTCTTAAAGCGATATGCAACATTTTGAATTAAGCTATGAAGTAGGGGGTGTTTAGCTGCAAGTAGGATTTTAATAAATCCGTTAAATCCACACTCTGCGTCGATTTAGTGAATTTGGATTTAAACCGAATCGAAAGTAAAATTTTTTTCTTTAAAACCGAAAATTCATAAATCCGCATGACTCCTGCATTTTTGCATTTGGCTGAATTTCATAAATCGGATTATAAATTTTATTCAAAGGTGCTACCAAACACCTCTTAATGTTCCTTTCAGATTAAATTATTCTACTCTCAAGTATTCATGAGCTAATTATTGAATTTGAAGTCCTACAAGATTGGTTCGAACTAATTCAAACCAAGCATAATCGTATGTTGCTTGAAATCAAAGAGCTTGTTGTGGCCTATAGTGAATTGCCAAAGATCATAGTTTGCACAGAAGACTGGGATGCATCTTTTCTTCTTCGAGTAATCTCGCTACTACTTTTCATTATTTACATACAATGTATTAATACAATTCTTTTATTTGCTTTGAAAGATTAGTTTTCTCCTATTTTTAATTTCATTGAGATCTTATATTTGGGGTAGGACAATGGCATTGCTGGTTAGCTTTCTAATTAAGGGGCAAATATTCTGCTTTAAAGGATTAATTCTCTTTTATACAAGTTTATCATTTATCATCACTGATCTTATCATTCATTGTTTGTTTTATTTGTGGGGAAAAGTGGACTTCCAAGGCTTCTAAACTTTGTAATCAAATAGATTTAATTTCTAATCCAATTATTCTTGTTTTATGGACCGAAATCATATGTTTTTTCATTGTCTATTTTATATGTTTTTTACAATTTCTTTTGATGGGCTTTAAAATCATCTCTAATTTATTTTTTTTTTCATTTATTCCTATAACTTTTAGTAGTCCATTTGTTATTGTTCTTAGTCTTATTTGAGTATGGTTTCATCTCCATGGAAATTGACGAGGCTTCTTTACTAAATTCAATTTATTTAAAACCTAACCAAATTATTATTCAGTTTTGTTCAATTTTGTGTTCTATTTGGTTGGTTTAGCTTGGCTATTGGACATCTATAGCCTGTTAATTTTGTCAAATTGTCAACCAAATTGGCCATACTAACCAAATGTATATCCTTAGAAGGTAGCAATTTGTCCGGAGCATGTGAAGGTGAAAAGAAATTCACACACAAGCTAATTGGCGGTGGCTAATGTTAGTGGGCAGCGGTGTCTAGTTGTTGTGTTTGAGGGTAGTGGCAATGTCAATGAGAGACATGGAATAGTTGTTGATCAGGTGAAATAGTGTACAAAAGTGCGCATGCCGCTTAAGCAATATAAAAGTGAATAGAGTTTCATTTCTCTAAGCAATATAAAAGTGAATAGAGTTTCATTTCTCTAAGCAATATAAAAGTGAATAGAGTTTCATTTCTCTGAGACTCAAAATTAAAATTTTGATAATTCAAAAACTAATTTTAAAGTAACTTATGTTTTTATCCAAATATTTTGATTTTATGCTTAAAAAAATTACAGAATTACAATCGATGCGGCATAATGATTTCTAATTTAAATGAAGAGAGGTATCTGGATGTTTGATTTGCCTAAACTGAATCTATGAATTATTATGCTTAAGAATTTTTTTTTCTTGAATGTATTATTAATTAAGGACATAATTATCTCTTAGACCATCAATAATTAGGAATCTTAACCACTTATCTAATTAGGTATGTACCTATACTAGTTAGTTTAAGCGATCACATGAAATATATTTCTCATGAAATTGTAAATCTTCTAGTACAATATTCCTATATACTTGAAGATTTATTTGATTCCCTTTTGTCATTCCACTATAATTCTTCTAATGCTTGTAGATTACACTATATTTTAAGATGTGTATGACCAGTACGCTACTAAATTAAGATTAATGTGACATAAAAGGTACATTATTTTTTTCCTAATTTTAATACAATAATTACACAAAATATTTTAAGTTCACCATAAATCCAGAACAATATAATCGGTTCATGCTTATGGAAAAGAAAAGAGAGATATTACACTTAAACATTTAAAATTAGTCTTGAGAAAAAAAAAAATAATAAAATGAGAATTTGATTCTTGGATCTATTCCTGTTTGTTCTTTGCTTTTTTAGTGTGATCTCTTTTAGATTCTTCTTTCTTTTCTTCCTATTTGCTCTCACTTCGCTTCTCTACTTTGATCCTCTCACGCTTATACTCCACTCTATCACTCCCCCTGTAAGTAGTGTGCTCCACTTGATAACTCCTTGAAACTACCAAGGTAACTCCCCAAATCCATTATGAACTAACTGATCAAGGTCATCGCTTTTTGGCAGTGATCAGATGGTTTTGCAGCAATATGAATGACACCACATCACTTGGGTATCATGTTGCAGCGTTTAGATCTCTTCCCGTTAAATTTAGCTGCTAGGATTGAGGCACTTCAATCTATGACATTGAGGCACCAAACTCCTCCAACTACAAACTCAACAGGTATGTGCTTGCCATCGTAATATTTCCTCTGTCTATTCTGCACTGCCTTCAATCTATCTCTGAGCAGGCCTTCAATCTATCTCTGAGCAGTCTAATCTTCTCAGTAGCATCATCAACTAAATCAGCTCCAATGATCTTTCTTTCACCTTTTCAACCCAACATAGAGGTGTCTTGCACTTCCTTCCATAGAAGGCTTCATATGAAGCCATCTAGCCTGATAACTATTATTGTAAATGAACTCTACTAAGATATATGTTATTCCCAACCTGCACCAAAGTCAAAGACACATAACCTTCGTAGATTTTTCATGGTCTGAATAGTCTTCCTTGACTGACCATCTGTCTGAGGGTGAAATATTGTACTGAAAGTCAGTCGAGTGCCCAAAGCTTCCTGATCCTTTGTCCCCAATCTTCTTTGCTAGAGACAATAGACCTTGACACCCAATATAACTCACAATTTGATCTACATATAATTTGTTTAGCTTTCTCAACAGGGTCTGCCTGTCTAATAGGTAAAAAATTTGCAGACTTGATCATTCTATCGGCAATTGTCCATATAAGATCCCAACATTGACGTGATCTAGGCAAGCCAATCACAAAATCCAGCGCAATCTCTTCTCATTTCCACTCTAGAATCGGTAACGGCTGCAACTGACCTCATGGACGTTGATGCTCTACCTTTATTAGTTGACATGAAGGACAATTAGCCACAAATTCTCTCACCTTTCTCTTCAATTTTGGCCACCAAAATATTTCTTTGAGATCCTGATACAATAGTATATCCAGATAAATTTGCTTCCTCCAGAGTTTTCTTCCTCAGTTCATCAACATCTGGATCATAAACCCTTCCTTTGCACTTCAATAAACCATCCTTATCTAGCACATACCTCTCCAAACCGCTCGCCTTAAGCCGCTCCAAGGCTTTCTGAACACTACTATTTCTGGCTAAAGAATCTTCAATTCTGCTCTTCAAAGTTCACTACACCGACAACTGTTATAATTGAACCATATTGTCATCACCATAATCAACTATAGATAACTTCAACTTCTCCTGCTCAAAGAAAATAAATAGTTCCAATTACCAGAAGTCTTCCTACTCAGTTAATCTGCCACCACGTTTGTCTTCATAGGATGATGTTGAATATCCAAATCATACTCTTTAATAAATTCTAATCTTCTCCTGCGCCTCAGGTTTAATTTTTTCTAAGTGAAGATATAATTCAAACTCTGGTGATCGATAAAAACTTCACATCTAACTCTATAAAAATAATGTATCCATGTCTTGAGTGCAAATACAATTGCAACAAGCTCCAAGTCACGCATGGAATAGTTCTTTTCGTGATTCTTCAATTGTCATGATGCATATGCTATCACCCTACCATGTTGCATCAGTACACAACCCAAAACCCTCAAAGATGCATCGCTGAAAATTTGAAACCCATCAGAATCTGAAGGAATAGCCAAAACAGGAACAGACATTAAGCAAGTCTTTAGCTTTTGAAAAGCCACCTCACAACAATCATACCAGTCAAAATTCATTGCTTTCTGAGTCCACCTTAATAACGACATGACAATTTGTGCGAACCACTCGACAAATCTCATGTAATAACCAGCTAGACCTAGAAAACTCTTGATTTCAGTAACAGCAGTAGGCATTGGCCAATCTGCAATCTCGTTGACCTTATTCTGATGAACATATATGCTATATCCAATGATAATGTGCCCAAGAAAAGCTACACTTTTAAGCCAAAATTCACATTTAGAGAACTTGGCATAAAATGTATTCTCCTTTAAAACCTGTAGGCAGCATGTTGATGATTGGCACGACTGGCTTCATCCCTCAAATACACTAGAATTTCATCTATAAAAACAATCACAAAAGTATCTAAAAACTGCTTTCATCAGGTCCATGAAGACTGTTCAAAGCATTTACCAGTCTAAATGACATCGCGAAGAATTTATAGGGCACATATCTGGTCCTGAAAGCGGTTTTTGCTATATCATCTTTTCTAATCCAAAGCTGGTGATGGTTTGACCTTAGATCGATCTTTGAAAAACATAAGCCTTTTCCAATTGGTCAAATAAACCGTCAATCCTCGACATTAGTTATTACTTTTTAACTGTGAGCTTATTTAATTCCCAGTAGTCACATCCTGAAGCTCCTATCCTTCTTCTTCACAAATATACTGGAGCTCCCTAAAGTGAGGTGCTAACTCTAATGAACCCGTTATCTAATAACTCCTGAAGTTG